CACTGCTGTTGGAACAATTGTGTGGGTTTAACAAATCAAACGGGCACTCTGAAAGGGATTACAACATACATGTCGTTTTAGGATTTACATCTGCTCTGGATGTGAACGAGGAAAAAGAAGATTGCAGAAGCAATAGAACTTTCCAAAATCCCTCAATATGGATTCAATAGGGATTTCATTATTATTAACATTTACTTGTAACTTTGCACCAGAAAATTAAAATGTGTATATGAACAACATTAAAATGAACAACATAGCACATTAGTTAATCCATGCATCCTCTCAGTACATGAATGAGATAGTGTTTAGGAGGTTCGAGGCTACGATGAGCATTAGAAAGAACTCACGAATGATCATATTGGCTCTTGACAAATTAAATGACAAATGATCGTGAGTTCCTTTCATGCCTCCTTCTCTTCCCTCTCCATACTTTATTAAGCAGCCAAGTGAGTGTGGCAGATTGGGGTGAGATTTACACAGTAACTTGTTTATGCTGATGGGCCTTCAATCAGCAGTGTACTCACCTGCTGAGGAAATAAAAGCTGCTTCATATTTACCATAAGGGTCATCTTCATCTGATTTTAAAGAATTTTTGCTAGACATTAAGGAGCATGTTATCAATGTAACATAGCAATATATTGTTTCTTATATTAATTTTAACATATGATGTTTTAACACACTGTGTTTGTTTTTTTAGCATCTTAAAATGGAAAGGGTTTTATGTAGTAAATTTTGCAGTCTTCAGTGTTTTTCTGTCATCACTCAATATTAATGTTCTGTTCCTTTGTGTTTCAGCAATAACTAAATGTAGTTCTTCACTATATTAAAATTGTGAGTATATGCTTAGCTCTCATGTTTTTATAGAGTTTGCATACTGTACACAGCAGGATGCAAAGTTAGTAATAATAGAAATAAACTAATTCTTAATGAACTCTGTTTGGAATGAAAAATTCCAAGCTCACAGAAGTCTGAAACCTACTTCACAATTCGAATACATCTTTTTTGTTTCTCATCATTACCTTAATGGTCCTTAGCACTTGATTTATCATGCAAAAACACATTCATCTTGTCAAGTGTTTTGAAGGCTGATGAAACAGAATAAGCGAACAAGGAACGACAAAATATAAATCCCACGTCATCTAACTTAACTCCAACGATGCCCTCTGTTCACATGGGTGCTGGCTCTGATCAATATTCCCTTGAATAAGACTTACAACCCACAAAAGGAAGCAGTGTTTTCTATGATTTATGATTTCTGTGATTTTTAAAGCCAGCTGACATTACGTCTTCTTGCATTTTTTATCACCCCACCTTCAGATGTGTGTATTCGACCTACCTCTATCATTTACAAGCCATATTTTGGGGCGGAGCGGTGGCTCTGTGGCTAAGGATCTGCGCCTGTGGCTGGAAGGCTGCTGGTTTGTATCCCGCGGCTGGCAGAGGAATTCTACTCTGTTGGACCCCTGAGCAAGGCCCTTAACCCCAGCTGCTCCAGGGGTGCCATATAAAAGGGCTGATCCTGTGCTCTGACCCCAAGCTTCTCTCTTCCTGTCTGTGTGCCTATGTGTCTCATGGAGAGCAAGCTGGGGTAGGCAAAAAGACAAATTCCTAATGCAAGAAATTGTATATGGCTAATAAAGTGATCTTATCTTATTTTGCTTTGTAACAGGTAGAGGAAGAAGCAAGAACCTGGCACTAAATATAAAATTTGGTTTGACTTCATCTAGGCCTAAAACGCCTGAGTGAAAATTTAAATAATGGCAGCTTCCTCTTGTTATGTATTTTGCTTTTTTTTAAAGAAGCCAATGCTAATTCTATGAAGTAGGAAGCAAAACAAGTCCACAATAAACAGCAACTTGAAAGAAGACTGTGGAGACTGTTTTTTGATGCTATTGAACTATCAAGTTTGATGCATCTTCCAAGTCCAGTCTTTGATTATATATTATCAAAGACAGTGCCCAGTACCTTAAAACACATTTGTAACAAGCATATTATGCGGATTTCAATTGTATCAAAAGAAATAATCTGAAAACTGACCTGGTTAGAAAGAGAGGGTTTGAAAGACAGAAGCAGCTAAGGAGCACAGCCACGTCAACCTTTGAGCTAACGTCAACAGGCCATTCCATCACAGGAGAAATGTTGATTTCAATAGCTGGCTTTTACTTTAATGGAACAAAAAGACAAAAAGAATGAATACATGAAAAATATTTCTCTGTCCAGATCATAAAAGGCTTTGAGAAAGCACAGCACACAGCAGCATGGCACTGAGGTTCCATTATCACCTTTCTGAAAGGAAAAAAAAGAGGATGAAACAGAATGGAGGCAGTTTACAACAGTGAAAAACAATCTTAAGACATTCATGTGGTGGAGGACATGCTCTGACCTGCACAAATACCTTCCTGCTGCTGTGAGGTTTATGGAGAACATATTTATCACCTTCCTGCAGTGGCTAGAAAAAGACTAGTAAACACGGCAGACCGAACCTATTGGGCCAGCTGCAGTCAGATACTACTGTTTGTGTTAAAAAGAAAATTTAACACATTTCGGAAAAACTCTATACTTAAAATGTACTCTGTAATGTGCATTACATATGTAATGTAATAGACTTTATAAAGTGTTTATATCGTAACGATCCGGCTACTAAAGCTCAGGCAGCTACCTGTCAAGAAACGCAGAGCGAAGAAGCCAGAAAACAAAGCCCAGGACGGTAAGAGCCCGGAAGACAGACCAGTACTTTGTTTTCAGATTTATTAAACCACGTTTCTGTGCTGGTAGACAAGCTTTACTATAGAGAAGCAACTTTCGATTGCTCGGATTTGAAATTCGAGGTATATAATATTTTAAACACTTATGGGAGTTTTTAACTTTGAACACGAACGAGGACGCCGTTTCTATTCACTTTTTGGAAAATGGTTACGGAGAATCTGCAATTAACATCGACACGACCAAGAAATGTGAAATGCTCCTAAGTATTGGATTCTTTTTGTAAATATATATATTTGAAGTTCGTTTTTCTTTGTGGAAAGCTGAAGGAAAAATATGCATCTGCTCTAACTTGGACTATTTTTTTGAGCGAAGAGTGTGTGGTTATTTTGTGGAGTAATTCAAATCAGTTGATACTGTATATGGTGTTCAAGCTCCTTGTTAATTTAATAAATGCCTGCTTCTTTTACCAAATTCTTGAGAATACTGTTCTTAAAACCGACTTACCGCGTATACTTGATGCTGTAAACCAACCAACATTGGGAAGTAGTCACCTGGGTGGATCGTTACAATTAACTATTCGTCTAATTCTTCTTTCCATTTTTATATTCTATCAGGTATTTGCTGATTAGTGATCTCTGGTATCATACTATTAAAGATCCAAACATGCCTTTCAAAAAAGAAAGTCCAGAGGACCTCTTTTGTTAAACTCTGTGACCTATACATTTTTGGAAAGGATCCGAAACACTGGGTCAGATTTACCTTAGTAGTCACCTGTTATTTATTTCATGCCTATTTTCCCAGCTGGTGTTCATGGACATCAGGTAAACAAAGCAATCATCATAGATACCTGACATTTAATTACAGATTGACCCAGCAGGGCTATGAATTTACCACAGTGATTAGGGTTCTAGCAGAATGCTCATGAATATTTATTGCTTAGTAACATGAATGGTATGTGAGATTTTGTGAAAGTAAAAAAATAAAATATGTATACACTTGCACAGTTTTTCTACCTTTGCCGTTTTGTTCAGGATGATTTTAGATTTAAAACTGTTGATGCAAGCAGCTATAATGCAGGATTTACATCCCTGCCTGTCACCAAATCCACGTAGTCCCACTTGTTTAGCAATAAAAGTCTCACTGCAAAATCCCTCTTACAATTAAAAAAAAATAATTGCTATGATTTGTCATGATATAAGCACCCATGAAAGATACGGGTTTAAAAACTGGCACGGCTACAAAATAATTAGAGAAATACAGGAACACTGTAGTCATCTACCAACAACTAGTAATTACATGTAAAAATGCATCTGACATCTGAGTCAATATTAAAATCTCAAATGAATAAGAACAATTATGCTGATTATAGTTTCATCTAATATCATGCTTCAAAAATATATACAGGTTTATGCGTCAAAGGTGACTCTTTAGGTTTGACGGAATAGTAAATTACATTAATTGTCTTCGGTTATGTACTCATGGCTTGCAGAAATGTGGATATGGTGTCTTTTGGAAGTGTAGTCTTTCATGGCCCATCCATTCAGTCCTCTTGTGGAAGAAAAGCATAATCAGTTTTTCATGTTATATTTAATAAAATTGCTCTGTTCACTAACCTGTAGCTGAAGAGGTTTACTGTGCTGGTAACAGTCCTATCCACTTCCTTTTAATTGATTCTCATGCCACACTGGTTACATACAGTAGAATCAACATTTAAGAGAGTAATTTGATTTCCTAACAAATAATGAACCAAGTTTAGTGTGTGTAGCTGGTCATCTCTAGCACATCCTCCACAGAACAATTCCTTGTCCAAAAGCAAACAGACCACTAAAGATATACAGAGGTGTTGTTAGCAAGGTTTTACTTTAAATCGATTTCTCTCCTGCGAACATTGTAAGGTTTGATAATTTGGCGACAACAATTTTTTTAACATGTTTTTTGCATTTATGAGTTGATATGAGTTGCTCTCATTCTTGAAATGCTTCTCTTCATAGTTCAGAGTCCCAGAGGGCTTCATATAAAAATTTCAGCTTGCACCACATTTCAGGTGTGCCAATTCTGTGCAACTTCAGCACGCACAGCTCAAAATAGTGTAAACATTGTGAGAAAAGGGTTAGAGAAAACAAGTTATGTTTCACTCTGTTTTGATTCTTTAATCTCTCTTTACAGTAAAAACTGTTCTTAACAGTGACTCCCTATTCTACAGAACGTATTGTGTAGAAGACCACAATCCACTGTACAATTCACACTAGTTATTCCACCAACAGGACCACAAATATAACTTCTTAAAACATATGTACAGCACAAACAAATCCATTTATTGAAAATAAGCAGTACAAATACAGCGTAATTCTGAGCAACAGTATTCAAAACTACAAAATAATCCCTCATGCTGTAAACAGGTGCAAAAATACAATAAATTCAGTATTGTTTTTGCTCAAATGTCACATTCATTACAATAAATAAGCACAAATACAATTTAGAAATAGACAAAAAGTATTGTATAATTAAACTAAAGGATAAACAAAGAATAACAAATCCAGGTTTGCAATGAAAATGAATGGGGTTTTATACAATTCCAAAATTCCTCTGTCAACTCATATATTTATAGCAGAAGCACTGGGGATGCATTTATTAACAGAGAAACAAGTTTCTGTGCTCAGACAGTTAAGAATTCCCATGAGGTTACTCTGTCTTATGTATAAATCTTTTGGTTATTTTTAAGTTCTGAAACATGATAAATGAGATGATTAATATTTAATATAGAACACAAAAATTAAAACAGGTATTGTGGTTGCTTTTGTTTATTGTAAAATGGGACTTCAGAATTTAAATTAAGATTTTTGTTTCCTAAGCTTAACAATGATCCATAGTGGAAAATTAATTAAATAAACAGTACATCTGTGACGTCAACTGAACATCATCATGACCTTATTGTCACAACGTCTGATGAATTTTGGAACATGTTATTATTATTATTATTTTTCACCACTGTTTCACCTTTTTACGATGTTGCAAAAAAGTGAATATTACTTAACAGAGTTAACACGGTTTTCAAGATCAACACTCGTTATCCTAACAAACAAAGTGCATGTGAAGGTCATCTTTTATCACAAGCTTTGTAAAAGCGCTGGCTAATGGCATCATTGATAAACTGCCAACGTTTCTCAGTGTGATTTAAGAACTGCAGGGGATGCCCATTAATTTTCAAAAAACCCTGTAGCACTTCAAAACAAGCGGTTAGGTCCGGTAAACCTATCATTCACAGGAAAAAGCTCCTAATCCGATTTGTTGTAAATAAACAGCATGTTAAGGAGTTTTACAATCAATTAGAATAAATGACTATATATCCCGGTACAGTATGTGCAGGACAGGATGATGAAGAGCATCACTGTTTAATTAGGACTTTTTATTGTTCAATTTACACTTAGATAAAAATGTGTACTAGAGGCTCTAGTGATACTGATTGTCAAGCAATGACCAAAAACAGATTTCTACATTCAGTGGGTCACTACCTCTGCGAATGTTGCCTAAATGTCTTCCATTGATGTCATTGCGTATTTGTGTTAGCACTTCAAATATTTAGGAGCTGGACTACATACTGTACAGCATCTACTACCTGCAAATCCTAGGTGTCCACAAAGTGGATTACATGTATTTAAGATCTTAATGCACCACAGGATGCTGTATTTTTGGAACAGGCTAATGTACACAGAAACAGAAATATTCAGTATCTACAGTTATATACCACATATCTCTTACGATGATGACTTTAACCTATGCATAATATGCTGGTGAGCATTATACAAATTCCAAAGAAAAGCTGTTCTTAATGCACTGAAACTCAACACCTATCTTTGTTTTATGAAATCATAGAAACAAAATGCATTCAACTGAGGGGGTGAACAATGATTGTTAGATGTGGTTATAGATTCCCGTCTCTTTAGAAAACAAAGACACCCTGTTTTTGTCTATGGTTCAAAATTTGTATGCAAAACAAGATTCTCCGGGTCATTGACATCAAATGGTTCCTCCTGGCCAAAAGCATAGCCAAATGAGGCCTGATGCATTTTTAACTTAATTGATAATGATAAGTAGATTGGATGGGCACACCAGCTGCATCTTCCTGGAAATATGATTGCTATCATTAAAGCTGTGGACAAATATTCACAGGTGACATAACCATATCTGTGGGACAAGCTCTGACTAACATATTAGCTCTATTTTTATAAAAAGATTTATCCCATTATTTTTATTGTGCAACTGATGTTTGTATTATGTAGAGCAAAGTGACAATACTAGGAATGTTGATTATCAAAGTACACCAGAAAACCATTTCAGAAACTAAAGATATATTTATCAAAATATATAAGATCGTAATTACTTCGCTGATGTTAAATAATGTTCAATTGAATGTACTTCAGTATATGTTTAATATATTATTATATATTAGTGTCACCAGTACAGTAAACTACTGTATCAATGCTTAGGTAATGAAAGTCTAAGTCTGCAACGTTGTTTAACAACCAAATGCTCTGTGATGCAATGATGGCTTGTGACTTTAAATGGATTTAAATTTTAAACTTAAGAAAAAAGCACAAACTGGCATAGCTAATTTTGCAAAATATATACAGTATACATACAGTACACAAAATAAATTACTATAGATTGGGTAGTATGGTATAAGCTAAAAACAGTTTGAAACTGTAATGTATCCTCACTGTTATTAAATTTCATTTGAGAGCGTTTAACCCTCTTAATGTTAATGAATTAATTTCATTATGTTACCATTCATTTGAAACAATTATACATTAACCATTTTGAAAACATGACTGTTTTGGAATGGAGAGACCGTTAATGGCATATATCACAAGTAATGTTTTAAGTTTGAAACATTACCAAAAGACAGACTTTTGTAAAATGACTGTATATCATAAAACTAATAATTAATAGAAAATTTGTGTTTTTTGGCACAAAGAAAAATTTAATACAAAGATTTGTTGACAGTTCAAATTAAAAAAAATAGGATGTAAATGCTAGTAATCATTAATCATGTTCTCTTCCATACTGTCATGGCTGAGAAGAAATCATGTATCATTCACCTATCTTTTCCTAAAGGTGGACAATGGGCTAAGGTACAGAATTTCACATTACTCAACCAAAACTGAACTTGTGCCTTGAACACTGTCCTCTTACACAAACTAGACCTTATGGGCATTCTTCACAGAAAAACGTTTTCTCCCCTCCAGTGGTCACATGTTGTTTGATGTCTGTTTTCTTAAAACGTCTTCTAAAATGATTTACATGTCTTGAATTCATGGATGTCTACCTACAGTATAGCCTACAGTGTCTAGGCTAAAACATTTAGAAATTAGTTAAAGTGAAAAATGAATAAAGCCCCATACATAAAGTCGAATCCAGTCTTTCTTTCCTTCTTTATTTTCTTCTCATCCAGATCTGGAGAACGAGATGCATATCAATATTACAGATGCTATTACTTGGTTCCTGAAGTAATATCTCATGTGTCATATTTTCATGAACCCACAAAACTGGACACAATGCAGAATTTCCCTTTTATTGCACAGAGCGCATTCCTGTAATTTTGTTTACACTTGAAATCTTTCCTCATCTTTTGAACACAAAGTTCTAAGGAATGCATTCTTGAGCAGAGTACTTCTTGTATACTTCTCAAGAAAAAAATTCAATGGATTCCAGACCTCCAATGTCTGGTCAGTGATGTTAGATTGCATTTTAACCTCAGAGAGCCTGTAAGGTCCAGTTGATCCATAGCTTCAAGGTGCCAGTTATGCTTAATTTAAGATTCTCAGTTGTGTTTTGTCACAGTTAAGGAGAACATTTCCTGCCATCCTTTCCCTAGCCTCAAAGAAGATCATTATCACTGGAATTTGCTCAAAATGTAGTCAACGGGCCAGATGGAACTGAACGTTATACGGTATAGGAAAAGATTACCACTGTAAAAAAAAAAACAGAAGTGATTGGCTAACAATTTACTACTGTCGTAAAAACAGATTCAGTTCACTTCAATTCCGAAGAAGACCCAACAATTATTTTGTATAATTTCCTTAAGGAAACAGACAGAAGTGAGAAGGTTTCTGCTTTTTGCCAGGGGTGGAATAGAGATTCGTGTATATCAGTCTCTGTAATCTAGACTAACAGTGGAAACACACAGCGAGGTTTAAGGCAACATTTGCGATTTAATTCTTTATGAATTTAATTCATTCTCTATCCTGTTAAGACGTACGGAAGATTATATTAAGCTTCCGCAAAGAAACTATGCACTGACAACTTGATTTTAAAAGTAAATCTACAAAAGCAAGCGACAAATCGGATAGAAACGGTCGTCGAATGTAATTAGCATTCAATTGCTTCGTGCTTCGTATTATGCGGTATCGAGATTCTGTAGTTGATTACAATCTATAATTACCCAAGGTAATTTATAGAATTAATATTTTTTTAATACTGTTTGCCAGTTCCAGAATCTCTACTTAGATACCTTTAGAAGAGTTTCTGATGGTAGTCTGTTGAATTCTAGTCTATTACGGTTTAATTATTATACTAAATTATTTTAATTTATTGTGTATATTTTAATATGACATGAACATTACAGGATTTTGACACCGGGCGAGATTTTCCTTTGTTCTTCTCAAATCATTCTCTCATTCCATCCCACAGCTCTCTTTGTGTATCGCTCATGTTGGCAATTTAAACTCACTTTACGCCCGTTCAATACAAATTTCAGTATTTCAGCATGATCGCCCAATGCATCTTGGTAGACTAAAAGACGATTAATTTGTTACTCGTTTTTAAAGAGATAAATTTTTTACAGTTACTTTGTTATATAAAGAATTATAAACATCCATAAACATCTTAAATTCTCAGTTGCAGTACACGATAGCGTGTTGCAGTAGACTTAGCCTTATTTCGAGCATATTGAGGAATGTTTTTATGTATGTTCAAAAACAATATTATCTAAGTTATCTAAAGAGTAAAACTGTCTCGTTTCTTTAAGTTAAATTCTATCCCAAAGAAGGAATGTATTCATCATATCTGTTTTAAGTGGGGGTACCCCTTCCTTAATTTTCTGGTTGATTTACAATTACAAATCAGCACGTACCCGTTGAGGGAACCTTCAGACGTTGCAGGCGTCTGTAACCCCTTTCAAGTGCATGATAGTCAGTGTCTCTGTGTAAGGATGACTACCAGAGGACACGGACCTTTGCGACGAGTGCCGGTTAAATTTCCTCTTAAAGCCCACACAGCTCTTCGGTCGCCCCTTCAGGTACTCTTTGTAGTTCTTGGTCAGCAAAGTATAGAGGAATGGATTAATGCAACTGTTGCTGTATGCCAGACAGGTCACTATAAAATTGATATAAACCATTGTCTTGTGGGACAGCTTGCCATGTCCAAAATAATAGATGCTTAGCAGCTGCCACAACCAAAACGGTAAGAAACATGCCCAGTAGGTCAGAACGATGCTGAAGATCATGTAGAGAACTTTCTGTTTGGGGCACCGATTCATTTCCTTCGTGGTGAACACGGTGGTCTGGGACATCCAGTAAGTCCTGGCTAAACGGATGTACAAAAAACCTATGACAATCCCCGGAGCCAAGATGCAGGTGTTGAACAGGACAGTCAGGTACACCTTATAGGCTTTGATCTGCCAAGTCGGGTGGCACATGCGCTTCTCCACCCCGTTATGGACATTCGTCTTCAGATCGATCATAATCATAGTGGGGAGGGCAAGCAGAAAAGACACCATCCAAACGGCGCAGGTAACTGTCCTTCGATAGTGCCTGGATCTCCCAAACGTGTCCAGAGGCTTCACCACGGCGAGGTACCTTTCAGTGCTCATTATGGTGAGGATGAAGATGCTGGCATGCATGGTGAGGAAGTCCAGGCTGAAGAGAATCCGGCAGCCGATGTCCCCAAAATACCAGTCCTTGACGAAATAGGTGCACACAACGAAGGGGATAGTGGACAGGTACAGCAAGTCAGCCAGGGCTAAATTCACAATGTAAACGTACATTGAGCCAGTTACCCTCACTGAGATGTTCATGACGACCAGTGTGTAAACATTGCCGACCACCCCAACCAAGCACATCACGGTCAGGATGGTCCCAAGCAAGGAAGTGACGAGGATCTCATTGAAGGAGCCCGACGATTCCACCGAAGATGCAGACGGTACCGCGGAGTTAGTGAAGGGAGAGGCATTCACCTGGTTCCAGGTAGTTTCCATTGCGCTGAACTGCGACAGAAATAGAGGAAACTCTAGAACACTGACAAGATTTCCCTACGTTAAGTGCATGCAGTAGAAAGCTTCACTGTATAATCTTTTCTGATTCTCTTGTACATCTTTATTTGCAGTCCGGATTAAATGGTACTGTTTAAGATTTCCATGTCTAGCGACACTTCGAAAGAAGTTTGCATGGCGTTGCAAGAAAACATCTGCATTCATAAATATCCAGGCACGCACCGCTTTATAGCAAGGTGCAGCAACTGACGAGCGCAAAACACTTCTCAGTCTCCACAACCGCTCCGCAGAGGTAGCCGCTGAAATGTCATTGTCTGATAACACACCACCTGGTCTGCAACAACAGTTCTTCAGGCAATCTTCAGATTCCTGACGTGTGCTGTGTGAAATAACCTTTACCTCACCGTAAATTCAGAGGAGGGCGGGATTCGATTCGATCGTCTTATTAAAGCACAGGAGGAGCTCTATCAGTTGTCTTGCAAAAAGCTCCAGAAAGCGTGAAAGAGCCGGACATCTGGTCCGATCGTTTGTAGGTTTGTACACTTTAAGTATTTAGGCTCGTAACGACGTTAATTACTTTGAGAATGAATGTAACCTTGTTCGTTAAAATAATTTTAAGTTGGAAACTCAAGTGTTTTTAAGGCTATGTACTACTTGTCAGTCATAAGAACTCAGGACGTACTGCATGTTCTTCACACACCGCAAGAATTGTTGTTCAAGGCACAAAACATTTACAGCAAGTGAAGTATAATAAAATTACTGGAAAAATCATGAAAGATATTAAAAACGATCATATTGCGAATTGGCGCTGCGTGTGTGCGACGGGTGTGGGGTCGAGTCTTTTTCGCGCCTTACTAACATCTAGTCATTATATTTAAGAATCTTTTATAAAGAGTCCTCTGCACAGCCTTTCTGAGAGTAAGAAAGCATCTTTTAGCACTTTCTTTATTTCGGCGCCAGCTATTTCTTAAATTGTAATTAAAAAAGGTTAATTTCAGCCATCTGCACATTGCTGTCCCCGAAGACCTGTATAATTCCGTCTGCAGGTATCCGACAGAAACTGCAGAATTACAGTGTGTATCGACCATCTGTAGCTCTATACCTACTCAAATAAGTTTCAAAGGTAAAATTAAATTATACCAATAGAAATATTATTATGGAACAAGTAATATGTTCATTCCATGCTGAAAGTAATAATAATAATAATAATAATAATAGCTTACACTTATATAGCGCTTTTTCTGGACACTCCACTCAAAGCGCTTCACAGCCAATGGGGACTCCCCTCCACCACCAATGTGCAGCCCCACCTGGATGATGCGACGGCAGCCATAGTGCGCCAGAACGCTCCCCACACACCAGCTATCAGTGGGGAGGAGAGCAGAGTTATTAAGCCAATTCAAGAAGAAAGAAAACACAACGTTTCGGCTGTTGAGCCTTCTTTAGGTGTTAAATATTACTATTACTATGAGAGCTTCTGAGCATTACCTATTAAAAACCAAATGTTGTCTTAAACAAGGGATACCACTATTTTTCGTGATAAATTCAGCGCAAAAACAGTATTTTTAATACAGTGCATCTATACCACAAACAAGTATTAATTTGTGTTGCTTTCAAAACTCGGTTAAGTGTGACTGTACTTAAGAACATGTAAGGCATTATTATTATGGGTATATGAAAACAGTTTAATCTCTTTTCTAAATTTTCTCGATGATTTGCTGATCTCAATAAAACGAGATGTTTTAAAAGCATTTTCTACTCGAGATGTAACAAGGACATATCCTTAAAACGATACCAACCAGTTCTAGTCAGCTGCTACCGTATCTTATTCGCTTAAGTACCACGGCACTGTAGAGCGCAGAAAGATCTTTTCTATTTGAACTGTGCGCTGATGCCTCACCGTAAATGATCTGCTTTTTAGGGAATGATTAAAAAGAACCTATGAGAATGATTAAGAGAATTGGCTTCTGAGATCTTCAATTTGTAATATTATTACCAAATGAAAACGCTTTAACAAAATTAAGACACTAAGAAACAAAAGCCTTTTTTTATCCTACTTTTACTTTTGTAGTGGGGAAAAAAAAGTAATTTTCACTGGAGGATTCTGTACATTTTCATCTCGGCCCCTTTTTCCGATAAATGAAAGTGACTTTATACAGCATCTGCAGAACCTGCATTTGAGGTTGTAATTACAGGGATTTGGAGCGCTAGAGTGTGATTCTGCTAGAGCTATTTACAGATTGCTTGACATTTGATGAAAACTTTTTCCTTTTTCCCCACCCAATGGTGGAGCAAATATAGAAAGCATAAAATGGTTTCCATGCTCTTTTGTATTGATTAACCTAGCCTTCTCAGTCAAGTTATCGAATAAATGTGTTTATACAGTATCTTAAAAAGTATTTAAATCCTTTATGATGTCCCAATTTATTCAATTAAAAAAATGAATGATACACATTTTTAAACTTAATATGTTAAAACCTGGATTCTCAAACTGAAGACTTCTAAGATTAGTGACGGTAAATGTCAACAAAACTAGAGAAAATGAAAATTAATTCAGACCTGTGAACTCAATATCTGGTGAAAGCACCTTTGGCAGTAATTACAGCTGCAAGTCTTTTTGAGTGAGTCTCTACCGGCTTTGCATAGCAGCTTGGTAAAGTCCATTCCTCTAGGCAGATTTTCTCAAGCTCTCACAGGTTGCTTACAGACAGTGGTTTGCAAGTCTTTCCACTCATTCTCAATAGGATTGAAGTCAGGACTTTGAATGAGCCAATCTCCCCAGTTTCCACATGTACAGAAAGTCAGTGTGAAGGTCAATTGTAATACATCAGGAGAGAAAATAAGCTCTGCTCATGGGTCAAACAAAAATAATAAATAGTATTGGTTTTGGCTTCCATTCAATGGTGAAGATGTACTATTTCTGTGGGCCAGGTGAGTAGAATGTGGAGTTTTAGTATTGTACTGCACCTATAGCTTTTTAAATGTCTTCAAATAAGCATGCCAACCCTATTCAAGGGTATGTCTTGTTTTAGAAATTAACAGTACAGTACTGCAATGCATGCATCACTTAAAAATGGTTTTTGAAGAAGGAAGCAAATGTGAACATATATTTCTCACACTAAGACATTAACAGTGTGTTTATTAATATTGTAACGCATACGGCCTCCATTGCTTGCGAGAGCTGGCTTACCAGACACCGCCCTTCCCTGTGAATAGCAGGGACCGCAGCCGCTGGGCTGATGGGAGATTTCCATTTGGCTTAAGCGGCTGGGTCCCTGTTGAGTGATGCCAGAGGCCTGGGTTTGAGTCCCCGATGGTGGGGGGCTGACCTGATGCCGCAGTGGCGAAGACGCCCATGTGAACCCCGAAGTGTTACATTGGTGTCAGCGATGGGATGGGGTAGCAGTTTGCCGAGGACAGCGAGTTAAGTGAGGGAGAGTGTAACGGCTACGGCCTCCATTGCTTATGAGAGCTGGCTTACCAGAACGGTGACGTCACCGCCTTTCCCTGTGAATAGCAGGGACCTCAGCCACTGGGCTGATGGGAGATTTTCCTTTGGCTTAAGCGTCTGGGTCCCTGTTGAGTGACGGCGGAGGCCCGGGTTCAAGTCTCCAGCGGTGGGGGGCCGACCTGATGCGGCAGCAGCGAGGGCGCCCACGTGAACCCCGAAGCGTTACAATATACATTACTGTATCCTGGAAAGAATCAATCTGTATCCTGTGGTTTTCCTTTGGTGTTTTTTCTCTTGAGCTGAAATGTATAAATGACAAGATGCCACAGCTTATGGTGCTTTGCTGTGGTTGAATATGAATATTGAATATAATGAATATGATATTACAGAAAGTGAGCAGGCTCTTAGGTTACCAAATTTAGCAAAACAATTTCACATTCCTTAAAGATGGGGTTAAGGGAGTTTTTTATTTTAATTTTATCTCAAATTGAATTGCAATAAGAGAACAATATCTCGTATCACAGCAAAGCACTTCAATACCTTGAAGGCAAAGGGGACAGATTCATGCATTAAAAACAACAATAGCAAAATAAATGTTATATTCCCCATGGGTATTAAGGATGCCTATAAGGCTTAGTGTGTAGCCACTGAACAGACTGTTCACCACTGAGTTCAATCACAGGTCAGTTTTTAGTCAGGCCAGTACAGGAGAGGTGGAGGCTGTGGTACAGTATAGTACCACCAAGTCAAATACTAAATTTAAACCCTTCTTTGAGTGGGAATTACAAATGAATAGCCAAAAAGATGTGCGTGAGTTGCCCTAAAATTCAAACGAAAGCATAAGGTAAGGTAAATGATGGTTATTGTGGAGTTACAAGCTAAATTTTCATTTGAGCAAGACCACTTCAAATAAAAACTGACAAGAGAAGTCAGAGGTCATATATAACTGTATATCTGTATTATTCCTATCATTAGATGTATTATTCCTGCTTTATCAGTAAATCTATCAATAGGTAACTCGGAAACACAGGTGAACGAGGTGGATTTCCCACAGATTTGTACAAAAAAGTGAGGAGACTCTTGTTGTGGTGAGTAGGTTGACATTAGATAACTATTCTCCTATTCTGAACAGAAACGAATGCTGTTCTAATCAAGTAAGAATTGGCTTTGTACTTTACCGTACTGGATGTTATTGCAAGTTCTGTATTCTACTTTGTGAACTGTCCTTGGATTATTGGAGTTTTTATTAATTACATTAACTAAGCCTGTATGGTTCCACTGAGCTGTTATTCTTACCTTTTTTTGCTATCCAATATGTAGCTTCTGAACTTTGAGATATTTTTAAAGACAATTTCCTTGGAAGCTATTTGAATTAAATAGGACACAAGAACAGGATGGTCGTGGTCTCCTAGGTGACCACATGTACAGTATGTTAGAAAAGAGACAGGTTTCTCATATATACAATGACTGCATATATAATATGTTATAGCATGTTAATGCTGTGTGATCTACAAATAATAGAAGCTGCGTGTTTCGTATTATTCTGGTACGAATGAGACAGGGTGGAGGGCTAATTTGTAATAGAGGCTGGTTGGATTACATTACAATCCTGTGTACTATATGGAGATAAGAGTGTGATCTTAAGCAGTAGGAATAACCTGGTGTGAAGGAACAAGTAAAGGTTTGTTCCATGCTGAAAAGAGAAGAAAAGAAACAACGTTTTGGCTGTGGAGCCGTTTTTGAAGATGAAGACCCAAGGAAAGCTCCACAACAGAAACACTGTGTTTCTTTTCTTCTCTTTTCAGCAGGGAATAAACCTTTACTTGTTCCTTTGCAGCCTATGCATACTGACACAGCTAC